ACTGTGAACGGCGCGTGCGAGTGCGTCCACCGGCCCGGATTTTTGGGGGCCAAGAATGGAATCTGCATTTTTGGCGTTTTCAGGATTTTTGAGGAGAGGGGGAAGGGTAATTTTTTTTTGTCCGGCTGTGCTCTACTTTCGTTTTTTGCTTTTTCTCGCCCCCTCCTCTGTTGTGGTGCCTTTACTCGGGCCTTTCTTTTGGGGAAGAACTACCGTGGCGTCTGGTCGCAGGATGGAAGGGAGTCATCAGGTAGAAAGGCACGATGGCCTCCGGCCTCTTTGCCTCTACGTTGCGCCCCCCCCCCCCCCCTTTTTTTTTCTTTTTTGGTGGCCGATCGGCGTCGGCTTAGACGGGTGACTGGGCGAGCAGCGGGTCAAATACTAGAATAGGCCCTGTCCACCCACCTGCCCACCTGTCTTCGGTGCGATTGGCCTCTCCTCCGATTGTTCCGAGGCAAGCAGTCCAATGCGTCAGGAGGACCGAGGTACACTATATTGCACCACTCGAGTCGTTGGATCTTTTGTCTCTGCGGAGGACGTGTAGGCTCGTTGAACCTCTTGACCCATATGGGTCCCTCAAGACTCGTTGGATCTTTTGACTCCGCTGTTACGTGACTTTCGGAACTCCCGACTGGGAGCCTAGCCCAGGTTTAAGAAAGGGAGTAACTTAAACCGCGGGGAGCGTTTTTCGGTCTAATGGTGGGCGTCTGCGCGGATTGGTTGCTCACGCGCATGGGCGCGTTGTCGCGATGGCCATGAGGCTAGCCGACGGAGTGATCAGACGCTCGCAGTCCATCGACGCTTTCGCCTCCTTCTCGCACCTTGTATTGCAAAAGCGTGGCGCATATAAACCTCGTGACCCTGATCGAGCATTTAGGAACTCTCAAATTATCCTTTTGTAACGGGCGGTAGCTTGCGCCACCTAGCGTAAGGAAGAGACACCCAGTGTCTGCTGACTGTCTGGCATCACGTATTTGCGGCGTGACCTCGGCTTCATGGCAATATACCTTCACATATGCATTTAAAATCGGTCTTACGATTGTCGTGGAGAAAAACAACAACACTCAAGAGCAAGGGAGGCTAGTATGCATCTTGTAAACCCTGAGATGGGGAACAATAAAAAAAAAAAAAAAAAAAACGGACGATCACAACAAAATCTCAAAGATTTTGAGATTTTGTTGTGTTCGTCCGTTTTTTTATTGTTCCCCATCTCAGGGTTTTGAAGATGTCGATTGATTACCAGCTCGCCTGCACTCTCTCACTGCTTACAATTCTAGTATGCAGTCTTCTAAACTGTGGCACGCTGTGATGCTTACGGTACAAACGCCATGTCGATTAAAGGGTTAAAAGAAAAAAGAAATGGCGAGCTATTCAGCTTTCTCCTACACCGGGACAACAAACCGCCCGTGGAATCCCAACACACCCCCGGCGACTCTTTATCCCGAAAACCGTTATGCCCCTTTCCCCACTGGGGTCTGTTCCAGAACAGCTAAGGGGAAAGAGCGGTCGTATACTATAGTCAAGATAATAAGAACGACAATAATATTAACGACACACATAAAATAGAACGGAGCGCGACAATGGGGAGAGTGAGGCGAACAAAAGGAATGCCGCGAATCCCGTACGTTTATCTTAGGGCCCCCGTGAGTATGGGGAGGGAGGAGGAAAAAAAGGGGAGGGTGGTTCAGCCCCGCTGTCTGAACCTCGGGGGTAATGGGTAACTCGAGCCAGCTGAATGGCGCCCGGCTATGTGTACGTGCGTGCGTGTGTGTGTGCCACGTTTCGGCCAAGGACTTACGGGAGACGTCGAGTCACGCCACCTGGTGGGAAGGGGGGGAATCAAAAATAAGCCCACAGAAAAAGGAAAAAGCAGACTGCAGTTGAGTTTGCTGCCTTCTGAAAACAAAACGAGGAAAGAAAAAAAAACAGCAACAACTTGACAATGCATCAGTGGCGCGTGTGCTCGGGGGTATCCTGTCGGGCGAATGGGTAGGGGGAGAGCCACTCAGCGTCACTCGCTTGTGGACATTCAATGGCTTCCAAGGGAGAGGAGAGAGAGAGAAGTTGCCAGCTTTGACGAAGTGACTAAGAATAAGTAAATATTTCAGGACCGTGTATTGCGAAACCGGGTGTTCTGCGTACGCTTGACAATGTCTGCTGCAGCATTCGGAGAGCGCTTCAACTTTGGGGCGATTTGGCGCTACTGATGGTGCGTTTGCGAGTTTGAAGGGAAATAAAAAGAGGAAGGGCAATTGAGAAAAAAAGGGAATGCGTGTTACGTAACTGGGAATGCGTTCGTATAACGGTGCTCTTTAACTAAAAAAAAAATCATAAAACGCAGCGTTTGTGATAGGAAAAGATTTTTAGTTTTAGATAGTCCCTTTGATTGTGCGTCGCATTCTTTGGGTCACATCCGATGGAGGCGGGAGGATGAGATATTCCGGTGGAATTTGATGCACCCATTTGGCTGCTACACTTTTTCTGTGTGAATGCATTGCTGGGAGATACACTATTGTTGTAAAACTTCGTCTTCTTTATTTTTTTTTAATTGGTACGTAGGGATATTACAGCCCTTCGTGTTGTTTTACAAACAAGTTCACTTTGTCCACACCAAGTATGGCTTCTGCGCGTGAACAGGAACCACCCTTTTGCGAGAAGTAAAATTTCTGAGCGTGCTACGTGTGGATCATTGTTCGACGACATACTCGAGAAGAGTATTTAAGCGAAGTTGCCAAATACCTGCTTCAAAACGTGTTTAAATTACTACTCAAGTTTCTTTACCTGCTATATATCTTGAGTAGATTATAAATACTGCGTAATGTTAATTTAATTACTTTCGAATATAAAAAAAGAAACTTGTGTATTTCTTTGTGGTGTCCTGTTTTATTTCATTCTATTTGTTATTTGTTTGTTTTTTGTTATTTTGGGTATACATTCTTGGTGCTGCTTTTTCCCCCCTTTTCCTTTTTGCTCTTTATTTGGTTGTTCCACTACAAGTTTGCGATCGGTTCAACTTTGTGTCGGTGCGTGCCGATCTCTATTCCCGTAAAAATATTCCAGCGACGAATTCCTTCAAACGTTGAAAAATGGATTTCAGAGAATGTCTCTAAGAAGTGAGAAATGTAATTAAGACAGAGCAGCAAATATATAGTCTCGATAAAACTTACTCGCAAGATACCAAATTACTACCAAAACTAATTGAACTGCAGTATTTTGAGTAGAATATTTGAGATTTGCGAAGGTCGAGTGTGGATGCATGGATGAATACTGCTGAATCGTCGAATCGGGCGGCGGTTTGCGCCACCTGACGGCACACTTAGCGCAGGGCCGTTCGCAGTGTGACGCACCTGGTGCTCATCGGTCTATTGGCGAAGAGATCGAACGCTAAGGGACACTTTGTCGGTTTGCTTTCTTTCCACACAGCTTCGTGCTTATAACTCGACACTCTTAATCATTGTTTACGTTCCACATAAGGAAACGTAGTTTCACCTTTCACGGAGTGTTTGTGCGAGCACGTCGGTCCGACAATGCTTTGGTCATGCGAGGATGGGAGGACTCTTAATCAACTTAATTTTCTACATCTTCCGGATGTGGAATCGATGTCAGAGAAACACCTGGCTTCACACAAGCTTAATTGGCAGTCCTATGAACCTAACTTGAACCTAATGCGGTTTTGTTCCAGGGCGTTAGTTTGGCTTTTCTTGGGCTCGTCCCATAATTGCCAAGGTGTCAGAGTAAGGGCCAGTGGTGCGACGTATGAATCGAAGAGCCAGCAATAAAGCCTAGATCAGGCACTTTTTTGTGTGTGTTGAATTGAGGCTTAAAGTTGCCACGTAAAAACAGAACAACCAGAGGTAAAGCCCAACTCTGACACATGTTTGGCAATTTAGGTCCCCAAGATGTCAGATGACGGCCAAACTATACCAGCAGTGATCTTTGGCACTTGTTTGGTGAATTAGGGCAAAGATACCCGGGCTCTGGCCAAAAAGGGTGAACTTTGGTTCTCTCGCTTGAGTTTTTCGGACTTTTTAGGGCACGAATTCCCGGACTAAAACCCAAATTTCTGTCAGAACGAACTGTGCTACATGTATGCGTACACAGTTGTTTCGGATAAAATCACAGAAGTAAATTATATTTTTCACCTTCGAAGTTGAAGTGCAGCGCTAGTAGTATAACTGCACGGTTTGCTCGAGAATGTCACACGTTAAAGTGCATTGTGTTCTAACGTGTCATATTCTCATACGTTAGACTGCTTCAGCTTTGGGGTGACATTCCTGTGTCCGACACCATTTTTTGTTTCCAATTTTCTGACTCAGTGTTGGATAATATTTGAACACTAAGAAAGCACAAAGATCCCGTGATCCCTTTATCTTTACTTATAATCCATATGCACCCATCACCACATGCTGTTTCCGCGGAACTTCCGATGCAACGCAGATGTTGCTTTTCATACCACTCACTCGCGATTTTCTTGGCGTTCCCTCGAGAATACCGATCCGTTCCCCAGACTATTATCCAGGCTTACACTCACAGCTATTACCCTTTTTCCTTGTTGTTTAACTTTCTTCTCTAACCACCAGCGCGAGTCCCGAATTTTTTCCACCTCTCATTCTCCCCACTTCCTGCATGTCAATCCTGTTTTATATATATTTCTACATATATTTTTTGTAATCCTATCAGAAACAGAGTTTCACAACTCGGGCGTGTACGTCCGGTGGGGTAACTTTTTTTATTTCTTACCATAACCTGCAGTTGAGATTCCTTCCGGTCTAACCCTTGCGTCCCGAAAAAAAAATGGCGGTCGTGGAGTTTGGGGTTGGGGGCAAAAAAAGGGGTGCCGACACAATGAAGGGAGGTAAGAAGCGTTCGTAATCACGAATTTGAGTCTGTACAGCGCATGCGCGTCAGCACGTAACTCCAGACTTTCATTGAGCTCTGGAGAGAGGCAGTGACGTGGGGAAAAAAAATGACTGTTTTTCCTTTTTTTGTTGTTCGATTAGGGATCCCGTGGTGCCGTGAAAGAGGGAGTTGGGAGCGGCGGCGTACTCCAGTTCGGCAAGGACGACGACGACGACGACGGCGGCGACAGCGACGACGACGAAGGCGGAGTCGTTGGAGACGTCCATGTCTTCGTCCTGAGGACGCTGCAGCCTCGGCGAGGACACAGCGGAGGTCACCGCAACTTCCACGGTTTTTCTGTAGACGTGCAGGTGAGTGCTGTCGCCGAGTCACTATGTCCTTGCATGGTCTGCGGTAACTGGTCCGCTACCGTGCATGCTCAGAACGCGTTCCACAGCCCAGTAAAACAAAGATGGCTGCGGCCAGAGAGCGGTCATTGGAAAGGTCTATAATGAGGGTAGTAACTTGGCTCCGCCCCGCGAGACATGTGTGACGTGATACCGCGACATTTCCTTCACCTCCGACCTGACCATTTTTTTTTTGTTGTTTTGTTTTTTTCGTCACGCGATAAGGGTTTTCACTTTTGTCCTTGCGTGTCCAGACAGAAGAGTTTCGGGTATCTGGTCTCGCATCGGTGCTTTTCCGCTTACATATTTTGGAGCTTCTGATTACGCGACCAAAAGAAGTTTCCGCGGTCAGGCTGTGGCGTCAAAATGCTCCCCCCCCCCCCCCCCCCCCCTTTCTACAACACGATAGAGGTCGTGACGTCGTTGATGACGCAGCAAGGGTGGTTGAACTCTCGCTGTCAAGTGTCTTCGTCTAGGGTAACCCCCGCGATATTTATACGTATATTTAGTTATTTCTTCACATACATCGAAGACCCGTTTCCGGGTATTACGCGAGGGACGGTTTTAAATACAATTTGACATTGTTATACAAAATAATAATAAAAACATTAAGAACAAGGCATATGGCATGCGCATAAGATCGGGGTACGAAGACATGTTTTAAGATTCTAATGCAGTTAGTTCTAAGTTTCAGTCTAAAGGCACTGGGAATTTCTTAGGGTGTAGCGATGTTAGTTTGTGTGGCAGTTTAATTTGGCAATAGATTCCATTCCGCAGTTGAAAGCGGTAATGTGGACTCTGCTCCACAGTTCGGGTTACAATTGCAGGATAAAGAGGAGCGGCATGAGGACTGTGTCGCACGAATCAACAGATGCAAGTGGATTCACATAGGCGTGCCCTCCAAGTATACACTTGAAAATGTAAATCTCGCGTTGTCGGTTCGATATCTAGCTGGTCTGTCTTTTCCCGACTTTCAGAAAAAAGATTTTTCGACGGACGTCTTTTCGAATAATCCCAGTTCTTCGCACTTGCGCAAATTTCCGTTATATATATATATATATAAGGAAAGAGGAAAAAACGTTTCATTGGATGAGCGATTTCGCTGTGGCTGTCGTAATGCCAGCGGGCTTACGCGTGACGCGTTAGAAGTAATCACTCACTTGTAATCAGTCATATTTTGCTGTAATTGGGTATTGCTCAATTTACTTATTTTAAAGGGTAAAAGCGCTTGTAATTAAGTTATTTTTTTCCCTATAATTCGTTACAACGGTTCACCCTTAAAGGGAAGCTACGGAGCTTCTTGGAAAAAATGAGTTAGAAGTGAATTCTAGTGTATTTTTACCCCGTGAACCCGAATACCCAAACCATTTGCTGCGTAAGTATTGTTAAACGCGAGAAAAACGCGAAAGACAGTCGCTGTCCGTGACGTCATCGACGGCTCTTTTGGCTGCCCAAGGCTAGGGAGGCGGGGCTTCAGTCCTATTTTGAAATTGCTTGTATGGCTCTCCGGCGCGCCGCATTGAAATACAATTTTGATATCTGTTATTCTAAAGGCCAAATGAACGCAATTCATGCGTTTTTTCTCAAATGTAGAAGTGCCCCATCTTCCCTTTAAAGGGGTACTCCGCCGATTTTTGAGCTACCTCAACTAACTATATTTTCTGACTCCCCGGCCTTTACCCTTTCTGGTATGCTATTTAGTATCGTGAAATTCATAATATTTATTGCGAAATCGGCAAATGAAAATCATGCAAAAACAAACATTCAAATATACCCGCCCTTTTCAGGGCCGTGACGTCATTGGAAGGTCAGCTTGCCAGTCGGGCGAGCAGTCTAAAAAATAGAAAATGTCAATCATTTGTTCCGTGACGGAGCGCGGGGACTGGAGCGAGCTTCCAAAGCATTCATTTGACGCCATGAAACTGCTTCAAATCAGTTGGGAACAAATTCTACAGTCCAAAGAGTGAACCCCTGCACTTCCAATGACGTCGCTTTTTCATTGTGGCCAGTACAGACTTTCAGTTTGAAAAACACGGTGAGGACCAAAATTGTAAATTCAATAACTTCATGAAAAAAAAATTATTTTGACCTAATATTTGGGATACTATTTTGGCGATGTTGTTTGGCGAGTTTAGCAAAATTTCAAGCAAATCGGGGACCATGAAGAAATCGGCGGAGTTCCCCTTTAAAGGCCGACGTATACTTCGCCCTTTCCACTTTTGCCCGCCTCCTCCTTTCCTATATCCTCTCCATATTTTACCTTGCCCGAACTTGGCTCCCCTCGTAGCCTAGGAGAGGGAAGCGCCAAGAGGATTATCTGCCCTGCAGAAGACGGAGGTTGTACGTCGGCCTTTAAGCTGAGACTGCAGACAATGCCACAAACACGAGAGCTCGAAGTCGCTGCCTTTCAAGCGTTCTTCCGCGGAACGAACACTCGCACTAGAAAGGCACGTCTTAAAGGCAGGAGCGCGGGCTAGCTCGGGCTTCGTTCATGTCCATAGCTATGTACACGACTGATGAGCGGTTGCTGTTGACGGCGAGCGTACGCAGTTCTTTTTGCAACGTGTATTCAGCACCATCAAGATTGCCGGTCTCAGCAGCCTGTTAATGTTAGTTCGTTCTGAGCATGCGCCCTAAACATCGCCCTCAAATATGGCGTCCATTGTGTTTGTTCGAGGGGTTTGTTGTTTTCCATCAGATTCGCTGTTTTTCGCTGTCAATTTTCGGCGTCGGACAAGAAAACGGTGTTTATGGGGCCTTAGGTTGAAGAAACAGGACAAGGGCATGGAATTCCCGAACCTCCAGAGAATATGCTCGAGCCTAGAATACACGGAAAAAGTTCCGGTAGCAATAAAGAAAGGAAACAAAAAATAAAATACCTAATCGCCCAAAAAAGAAAAAAAAAGAAGTACACTCGCGGACAGTTTAGGGTGGCTGTGTTCGAGGTAGACACACAATAAAATTGTAGTTGAAGATGTTTTTCTTTTCGAGAAACTAAGTTTTTTCTCGGCGGAGAGGAAAGCTCTAATTCGGGGTTTTTCGGTTTTTCCCAGCCTTTGATAAATCTCTGCTCGGGTGTCAATTTTCGCGCTTTATCGGTATCCACCGAGAACACAGAACCCTGCTTACTAGTGACCGCCTACCTTTTTCTTTAGGCCGGGGTCATTGAACGGAGCGAAAATTTTTACCCCACGAGCGGCGCCAAGCCTGTCTAACTCGTCAGCGATGTTAAATATCCCTTCGTCGTAAACATGTCGTCACTTACAATGTGGAAGGCTCGCTCGAATGTGTACTCTCTTTCACATAGCCAGAGAGACCGCACTTTTGTTTGCACAAGTCCCGTTATGCCCGGGTAGGGCACGCGCGAGATAAAATTACTTCCGGAGAACCGCCCCTAAGGATGAGGTCGTCGCAGATTCCGACCGAGGGACGTGTCACCTTGAAGCCAACGCGTCCCCGCGGTGCAAACCTTATTGTACGTTTCGCAGAAAAGCGAGAACGAGTTCCAAGCAGGCTGCTCTGACCGCTTGTTTATCTCCTTGCGTCTCTTCTATCTCATCGGAAAAGAAAAAAAAAGAAAAAAAGAGGTGTCCTGACGAAGCGCGACGGTATCAGGACCGACTGCAAGAACGTCCGACTCCAGGAACCCCCGTTACGCGATGAACAACGTGTTGATTTTTCTTATCCTTTTCGCTTTAACAGGTCAGCTCCTGTTTTTTTCTTTTTTTTCTTGCCTATTAGCGTTTTCGACTTCTTTCGCTTTCTTTTGAATAACTTCCTGCTTCGCAGCCTCGCAAGCTGCGTAGTAGCGCGGTTCGCAGAACTGCGTACCCCCCTCGGGGCGAGTATATATATATATATATCTATAGTAAACACAATCAAACGCCCTCCCGCGCATCCCTTTTCTAATAACGAGCAATGACCGGATTTCTGTCGAAGAACGTGTGTAAGCGAGGTCTCGTTGTTTGAAATTCTTTAGGTATAAGCTTTTCCCGGTGGCCGTGGCGGCCTCGTGACTTCAGCTTGCCCCTAGGTTGCGTGTCTTGAAACCAATCTCTCTCTCTCTCTCTTTCTCTCGGTCTCTCAGTAGCGCCAGTTCTTTATCGTCACCCTTTCGGCTCTTATCGGGCACGCGAAAGAAACTCGTGCAGTTTCGGATACCCGCTCACTTGTTCCGCTGAGGGGTGACCTCTAGCACTTGAAGTCCGACAACAGCCATTCAAGCAGTGCTGATAATGCGACGTCACGGCGCTCGTGTCTTTTTTTTTTTTTTTCGTGGGTTTGTTATTATTGGTTTAACCGGATGGATGGATGTTAATGACTGTTCGTGAATCCAGCGAACTATACGGGCGCGCTGGTCAGGCAAAATGCCGGACGAAAGGAGGTCGTTTTCGTCGTTCAGCACGCGGACCACTATACATTTCTTGCACTGCGGCATAAAATTGGTGTTACATATAAAAACAAAGCGATTTTTCGACGGTAGGATCCTTCTTTTACTCACTGCGTAGGAATGACACAGCGAAAGCATAAAACTAAGTACTGGGAACGATGTTTGTTTCTATGCTGCCGACGAGAACCAAGCAGCGATAGCAGACGACAGAGCCGAAACGACCTCCTCTCTTGAGCTTCTCGGCGTTGCCGCTACGCGGCGTCGTAAAGGGTGGTAGCTTGCGCCACCTAGCCTAAGTCAATCCTAACCAATAATGCGCGAAAAATAAAAAAAAAAAAAATAAAAGAAAAGCGCATGATTGCGGCGCATTCTCTGTGTGTGTTTGGTTTATCCGTTGGTAGCAGACGCACAGAAACGACGAGCGTTGTGGCGATGCACTTTTGGCGCTGCTTGGTTGGTTCTGTCTGTGGGATCGTTGCATTGGCTGCGGTCGGACCTTTTCGTGACGTCACGTAGAGAAGGCCAACGCGGGCCACAGATTTGACGCGAGTGTCGCTTCGGCAGTCGGCTGAGA